GAGTGACGGTGGCACCGAGTGACCGCGGCACGGAGTGACCGTGGCACCGAGTGACCGTGGCACCGAGTGACCATGGCACCGAGTGACTGTGGCACCGAGTGACCGCGGCACCGAGTGACCGCAGCACTGAGTGACCGTGGCACCAAGTGACTGTGGCACCAAGTGACCGTGGCACCGAGTGACCGCAGCACTGAGTGACCACAGCACCGAGTGACTGTGGCAGCGAGTGACCGCGGGTCTAATCTGTGCTGGCCAAGGGAGCCGGGAGCGGAGCGAGCCGGGGATTGGGAAGGGCCGGATGGAGGTCACACTATACCTGAGCACTCTGTGTGATATCTTCCCTTTGTTGTCTGTCTAGATGCCCAATAGCATCAGTGGCTTCTTTTTCACAAGGGTCATAAATACCAGAACCATCTGAAGGCAGGAAACAAGGAAGATATGCAGAGAATTATCCCGGGTCTCTACCCTAAATTCCCTGGGGCGGCTCCGAGGGCGCGGATTTTGCCGGGATTTCTGCGGGATTGGGGAATCGCGCTCCCACGGGCGGCCAAATCCCGCCTCTCTCTACGGGGGCAGAGGATGGGGAAGGGCCGGGAATCTCCCGTGGGAATGGAGGGGCTCCCAGACCGCCGGCATCCCCCCGCGCTCCTCCCGGCTCCGCTGCCGCGGGAAGGCCGTGGGTGAGCTCAGCTGGCCGGAGCTCACCTGGCCAGAGGAGCTCACCTGGCCAGAGGAGCTCACCTGGCCAGAGCTCACCCAGCCAGAGCTCACCCAGCTGGAGCTCACCTGGCCAGAGCTCACCCAGCTGGAGCTCACCTGGCCGGAGCTCATCTGGCCGGAGCTCACCGAGCTGGAGCTCACCTGGCCAGAGCTCACCTGGCCAGAGCTCACCCGGCTGGAGTTCAGCCGGCCAGAGCTCACCTGGCCGGAGGAGCTCACCAGCCGGAGCACAGCTGGCCGGAGCTCACCTGGCCGGAGCTCACCCAGCCAGAGCTCACCCAGCCAGAGCTCACCTGGCCAGAGCTCACCTAGCTGGAGGAGCTCACCCAGCCAGAGCTCACCTGGCCAGAGCTCACCCAGCCGGAGCTCACCCAGCCAGAGCTCACCTGGCTGGAGGAGCTCACCCGGCCGGAGCTCACCTGGCTGGTGGAGCTCACCCAGCCAGAGCTCACCTGGCTGGAGGAGCTCACCTGGCCAGAGCTGCTCACCTGGCTGGAGGAGCTCACCTGGCCAGAGCTCACCCGGCCGGAGCTCACCTGGCTGGAGGAGCTCACCTGGCCAGAGCTGCTCACCTGGCTGGAGGAACTCACCCAGCCAGAGCTCACCCAGCCGGAGCTCACCCGGCCGGAGCTCACCTGGCTGGAGGAGCTCACCTGGCCAGAGCTGCTCACCTGGCATGACGATGCCCGAGGCCAGGCACTCCAGCACGCGGCGCAGAGCCTCGCCCGCGCCCATCGGCCGGTTCGCCGTCCCGATGGATTTCTCACACAGCAGCTCCAGAGGCTGCAAGGGAAGGAGGGAAGTGAGGGAGGGGAGAGGGGAGATGGAGCCCGGAGAGGCTGGGGAAAGGATCCCTGGAAATGGATCCCAGGAAATGGAACCTGGGGAAGGGATCCCGGGAAAGGGATCCTTGGGAAAGGGATCCCTGGAAATGGATCCCGGGAAATGGAACCTGGGGAAGGGATCTCGGGAAATGGAACGTGGGAGAGGGATCCCTGGAAAGGGAACTTGGGAGAGGGATCTCAGGAAATGGATCCCGGGAAATGGAACTTGGGAAAGGGATCCCGGGAAAGGGATCCTTGGGAAGGGGATCTCAGGAAATGGATCCCGGGAAATGGAACGAGGGGAAGGGATCCCTGGAAATGGAACTTGGGAAAGGGATCCCTGGAAATGGAACCTGTGAAAGGGATCCCAGGAAAGGGATCCTTGGGAAAGGGATCTCAGGAAATGGAACTTGGGAAAGGGATCCTGGGAAAGGGATCCTTGGGAAGGGGATCTCAGGAAATGGATCCCGGGAAATGGAACCTGGGGAAGGGATCCTGGGAAATGGAACGTGGGAGAGGGATCCCTGGAAAGGGAACTTGGGAAAGGGATCCCGGGAAAGGGATCCTTGGGAAAGGGATCCCTGGAAATGGAACCTGTGAAAGGGATCCCGGGAAAGGGATCCTTGGGAAAGGGATCTCAGGAAATGGATCCCGGGAAATGGAACCTGGGGAAGGGATCTCGGGAAATGGAACCTGGGGAAAGGATGACAGTAAAAGGGATCCCAGTAAATGGATCCTTGGGAAAGGGATCCCAGGAAATGGAACTTGGGGAAGGGATCCCTGGAAATGGATCCCGGGAAATGGAACTTGGGGAAGGGATCTTGGGAAAGGGATCCCAGGAAATGGATCCCGGGAAATGGAACCTGGGGAAGGGGATCCCGGGAAATGGACCTCTGGGAAAGGGATCTCAGGAAATGGATCCCGGGAAATGGAACCTGGGGAAGGGGATCCCGGGAAATGGACCCCTGGGAAAGGGATCTCAGGAAATGGATCCCTGGGAAATGGATCATGGGAAAGGGATCTTGGGAAATAGAACTTGGGGAAAGGATGCCAATAAAAGGATCCCTGGGAAAGGGATCCCTGGAAATGGATCCCTGGGGAAGGGATCCCTGGAAATGGATCTCGGGAAATGGATTCTGGGAAAGGGATGCCAGGAAACGGATCCTTGGGGAAGGGATCCTGGAAAATGGATCCCTGGGAAAGGGATCTCAGGAAATGGATCCTTGGGAAATGGAACCTGGGAAAGGGATCCCTGGAAATGGACCCCTGGGAAAGGGATCACGGGAAATGGATCCTTGGGGAAGGGATCCCGGGAAATGGATCCTTAGGAAATGGATCCCGGGAAATGGATCCCTGGGAAAGGGGATCCCAAAAAAAGAGATCCTGGCAAAGGGACCCTCTGGAACGGGACTCCTGGAGAGGGATCCTGGCAGAGGGAGCCCTGGAAACACTCCGGGAAAAGGGATCCAATAAAGGATTCCAGGGCAGGGATCTGTCTGGGATCTGTCTGGGTTCCCAGAGGAGGAGGGGAGCCAGGCTGTGGAAGTCGTGAGTGGATAAAACAGCTTGATAACAACGTGATCTGGTAATTAATAAAACGAGCTGATGATGTGATTGGATAAAATAAAGCGGTTTGATAACTGATAAATGTTTGTGTGATTGGATAAAATAAAGCGGTTTGATAACTGATAAATGTTTGTGTGATTGGATAAAATAAAGCCGTTTGATAACTGATAAATGTTTGTGTGATTGGATAAAATAAAGCTGTTTGATAACTGATAAATGTTTGTGTGATTGGATAAAATAAAGCCGTTTGATAACTGATAAATGATGGTGTGATTGGATAAAATAAAGCCGTTTGATAACTGATAAATGTTTGTGTGATTGGATAAAATAAAGCCGTTTGATAACTGATAAAAGTTTGTTAATTGATAAAGAAAACTGATGACGGGATTTGAGGACATCAGGAAAGTGATAAAGTGATTTGATAATTGATAAAACTGATAACAAGACCTGAAAATTAATAAAAATATTTTTAAAATAACATGATTTTTTATATGTCATGGTAACATGACTTGAAAATTAATAAAACAATTTGATAATGATAATGATGTGGTTTGATAACTGATAAAACAATTTGATAGCAAGAGTGGATAGCTGATAGCTATAAATAGCTGATAAAATGTTTTGATAATGATACATAATGTAATATAGTATAATATAGTGTAATATAGTATAATATAATATAATTAACATAATTAAAATAATATTGTAATGTAATGTAATTAACATAATGTAATATAATGTAGTGTAGTGCAAAAATATAATTAATATAATATAACATAATATAACATAATATAATGTAATATAATGTAATATAATATAATAAATATAATAAATATAATATAACATAATATAATATAATGCAATGTAATATAATATAATGCAACATAATATAATGTAATGTAATAATATAAATAATATAATGTAACATAATGCAATGTAATGTAATGCAATATAATGTAATGTAATGCAATGTAATGTAATGTATTGTAATATAATATAATATATTAAATAATTGAATAATTGATTAAACAACTCGATAGCAAGGTGAGTTGGTAATTGATGAAACAATTCAGCAATCACCTGAGCTGATAATTAATAATTCAGCAATCACCTGAGCTAATAATTAATAAAACAATTCAGCAATCACCTGAGCTAATAATTAATAAAACAATTCAGCAATCACCTGAGCTAATAATTAATAAAACAATTCAGCATCGAGGTGAGCTGATAATTAATAAAACAATTCAGCATCGAGGTGAGCTGATAATTAATAAAGAAATTCAGCAATCACCTGAGCTGATAATTAATAAAACAATTCAGCATCCAGGTGAGCTGATAATTAATAAAGCAATTCAGCAATCACCTGAGCTGATAATTAATAAAGCAATTCAGCATCCAGGTGAGCTGATAATTAATAAAGAAATTCAGCAATCACCTGAGCTGATAATTAATAAAGCAATTCAGCATCCAGGTGAGCTGATAATTAATAAAGAAATTCAGCAATGACCTGAGCTGATAATTACTGTTAATTAGGTAACAAGGCGAGTTCATTTAGCAAGGCAAGGCCAGGTAACGATCAATAAACCCATCTGCACCGCAGACATTTGGATTGCGTCTCCAAGTGCAGAGAAATCGCTCATCCACAGAAATCCCCAAGCTGGGAAAGCTGGAACCTTGGGAAAGAGCAGAGCTGGACTGGGAGAAACGCTGCCAACCCTCCCCGGAACACGAAAAGGGGGAATTACCCATCCTCTGAGCGGGGCCCAGGTGGGAACGCGAGTGCAGAGGTCCCGCAGCACCCGGATGACGATGACGCACGACTTCAGCCCGTTGGCCCTGGCCTGGAAGCGGAACCAAACCAGACAGGGGTTCACCGAGCGCCCGCCCGCGCCGCCGACGCTCCCTCCGGGTGTTGTTTGCTGAGGGTAAAGCCGGAGCCTGGGCCCGCGCCCGGAGCTCAGAGCCGCGACAGACGAGGGGTGGCCAGAGTCTTAGCCGAGGTCCTAGCCAAGAGCTCGGCCAAGGCCTTAGCCAATGGGTTGGCCAAGGTCTTAGCCAAGGGGTTGGCCAAGGTCTTAGCCAAGGGGTTGGCCAAGGTCTTAGCCAATGAGTTGGCCAAAGGTTGGCCAAGGTCTCAGCCAAGGTCTCAGCCAAGGGTTGGCCAAGGGTTTGACCAAGGTCTCAGCCAAGGTCTTGGCCAAGGTCTTAGCCAAGGGGTTGGCCAAGGTCTCAGCCAAGGTCTTAGCCAAGGGGTTGGCCAAGGTCTCAGCCAAGGTCTTAGCCAAGGGGTTGGCCAAGGTCTCGGCCAAGGTCTTAGCCAAGGGTTGGCCAAGGGTTTGACCAAGGTCTCAGCCAAGGTCTTGGCCAAGGTCTTAGCCAAGGGTTGGCCAAGGGGTTGGCCAAGGTCTTAGCCAAGGTCTTAGCCAAGAGTTGGCCAAGGTCTCAGCCAAGGGTTGGCCAAGGTCTTAGCCAAGGTCTTAGCCAAGGAGTTGGCCAAGGTCTTAGCCAAGGAGTTGGCCAAAGGTTGGCCAAGGGGTTGGCCAAGGTCCTAACCAAGGGGTTGGCCACAGTCTTAGCCAAGGGTTGGCCAAGGTCTTAGCCAAGTTCTTAGCCAAGGGTTGGCCAAGGGGTTGGCCACGGTCTTAGCCAAGGGCTGGCCAAGGTCTTAGCTAAGGGGTTGGCCAAGGGGCTGGCCAAAGTCTCAGCCAAGGCCCTGGCCAAGGGGACGTTACTCCTCACACCAAGCAGCAGCTCCGCGGCTGCTCCGTACAAAGGCTCCGAGGTCACTCCAGCGCCCACAGTCCGGCACCTCCGAGCGGCCGGCGGCCACTTGGAACTCCGAAAAGAAAAACACTCAGCCCCTTAAAAAGAGTTTACCAATCTTTCTACTTAAAGATAAATATAAGAACAAAATGCAAACCTGGAACCACTTGGCGTGGCGCAGAGACGCCAAGGCAGCAAGGCATTTCTGCCTGTCCAGAACGTCCGGGGAGTCGGTGACTGAGAGCGTTTCTAGTCGTGGATGGAATAAGAAGACAAGGCACGGTTTGACCAAGGGGCTTCTGTCGGGCCGAGGGGGATGAGGCAGCATCCTAACGGGCAGCTGAGGCTCCCAAAAAATCCTGCTGGGATGCTGGGAGCGGGAGGGGAAGGGGCTGCTGCGGCGCTGCCGCCGCGCGGCCTCGCCTGGACACGGGGGAAGCTCAGCTCCCAGGGAGGGATGGGCTGGAATGTGCGCTGGAAGGAGGAGGAGGAAGAGGAGGAAGAGGAGACCGGGCGTGAGGCTCGGTGGAGGGCACAGAAATAAATCCTGGATGGATGGAGAGGCGGCGGCGAGGCCGGCGATGGGGAAATTTGAGGGGGTGAGACCCCGGCTCCGCAGCCGGAGCTCAGGGGGTGGGGAGGAGGGAAGGGCCGGGCTCGGAGAGGATCCAGGGAACCCTCCGCCCGGAAGGATGGCTGCCCCGGCCCCGGCCCGCGACAGAGAACGTCCTGTTGGTCAAAGGTCCAGCGTCCCTAAAATCGACAAACTAGAAGGCTCGGAGACGAGGTCAGAGATCAACACCAGAGATCAACAATCAAGAGCACAAAGAGGTCCCGGTTTGTGCTGCAGCAAAACTGAGGAAAGGCCTGAAATCGCCCAAAATTGCTCGAGATCAGGGTTTTAGATAAGGCTAGTGCGGAGCGGGGGAACCGCCGGCCCTACGGAGCCCATCGGAATTGGAGAGGACAACCAGCAGCTGCTGGAATTCTGATTCCAAAGGGAATTTTGGAGAAGCTAACTTTATCCAAAACTCTGCATCGCTTTCCGGAATTCTGAAGCTGAGGTGCTGGAAGAGCCCACAGGAGGAGCCCCGAGCACCCGGCGTTCTGCTGCAACACACACCGGGGGAACATCCCGGAACATCCCGGTTCATGGACATGCAACTCCTCGGACAAGAAGCCTTCGAGAGGGGTTTTTTTTTTTTTTGGTTTTTTTTTTTTTTTGGGTTTCTTAAACAAATCTGGTTTCTATTTTCATGTCACTGCACTGACATGGCCGGGGACAAACCACGAGTAATACAACGAGATGATGAATTAGTGAACTAAAGGCCCAAGTGGAACCAAAAGAAAGGATAAAATAATAATAATACTTAAAAAAAATAATAAAATAAATTTAAAAAAGGAAATAAATTTAAAAAAAAAAAAAAAATCCCGTGTGAAAGGTGCTCCTCAGCTTCAGCAGCTCGGTCCGGATAAACCACAACCGGGATCTCGGCGAGGGATTTGGTTTGGATTTTGGCCAGGAAGAGCCGCCGTGGCTCCGGCTGAAGCTGAAGAGCACTTTCCCGCTCGTTAGCCGCGGGACGCCGGGCGCCGGCCGGCCGTACCTCCGGCCAGCTGCTTCTCCAGCTCCTCCCTGACCACGGGGGACGTCAGGTGGATGGTCAGCGTCAGCGGCGGCTCCTTGGTGTTCTTGATGATGATGGCGGCGTCTCCCACGGACTGGATGATCTCGTACTTGTCCTCGGTGATGGCCTGCGCAGTCGGGATGGAGATGGGTGTAAGGTGGTGCCTTGCAATCCAGAACATTCCATGGGTTTGGATTCCCAGAGCACCTCTGGAGATGGGAATGTTCTGCTGGAGCAGGGAAGGCTCTGGGGAGAGCTCAGAGCCCCTTCCAGGGCCTGCAGGGGCTCCGGGAGAGCTGGAGAGGGACTGGGGACAAGGGATGGAGGGGCAGGACACAGGGAATGGCTTCACCCTGGAAAAGAAAGGATTTAGATGGATTTTGGGAAGAAATTCCTCCCTGTGAGAGCAGGGAGGGGCTGGGATGGAATTCCCAGAGCAGCTGTGACTGCCTCTGGATCCCTGCAAGTGCCCAAGGCCAGGCTGGACAGGGCTTGGAGCACCCTGGGCTAGTGGAAGGTGTCCCTGGCCAGCTCCAAGGTCCCTTCCGACCCAAACCATTCCGCAATTAACGAGAAGTTCGTTTGGCAATCCCAAAGAACCACCAATTCCAAATTCGTTTGGCAATTCCCAAGGCCACCGGGCGCCTCCGGAAACGACTTTTCCAAGCCAGAAGGAGGGGACCGGAACCATCCCGAAGGGAATTCGCTCACCGCGAGCTGCACTCCCAGATTATCGGCGACTTTTTCCAGGAGCTTGGCCGTGGGTTTGTCTTTGCACAGCAGGACCAGCTCCAGGTCCAGGTCCCCCTTCAGCAGGAGGCCTTTGGCCACCAGCCCCACGCGCATCACCCCCCGCAGGGTCCTCGTCAGCTGCTCCGTGGCCTTCTGATCCCTGGAGAAACACGGGCTGCGGTCACCATTGAATTGGAACTCACAATTGAGCTGGAATTCACAACTGAGTTGGAATTCAGAATTGAACTGGAATTCACAATTTCACTGGAATTCACAATTACAATTGGAATTCACAATTGAGTGGAAATTCAGAATTGAGTTGAAATTCACAATTGAATTGGAATTCACAATTGAATTGGAATTCACAATTGAATTGGAATTCACCATTTCATTGGAATTCACAATTTCACTGGAATTCACAATTGAATTGGAATTCACAATTGAATTGGAATTCACAATTTCACTGGAATTCACAATTGAATTGGAATTCACAATTTCACTGGAATTCACAATTGAATTGGAATTCACAATTGAATTGGAATTCACCATTTCATTGGAATTCACAGTTGAATTGGAACTCACAATTTCACTGGAATTCACAACTGAGTTGAAATTCACAATTGAATTGGAATTCACAATTAAATTGGAATTCACAATTGAATTGGAATTCACCATTTCATTGGAATTCACAATTTCACTGGAATTCACAACTGAGTTGAAATTCACAATTGAATTGGAATTCACAATTGAATTGGAATTCACAATTGAATTGGAATTCACCATATCATTGGAATTCACAGTTGAATTGGAATTCACAATTTCACCGGAATTCACAATTCAATTGGAATTCTCTGCTGGGCCCACCCAAGGGATGAATCCATGAGGAGCACCTGGAGCAATCAACCCTGCCCTGGTTAACTCCCCAGCCAGTGAGGACAACTTTTCCACCACCAGCGAGCCGAGTTTTCAGCCAATCTAACCAAATTTTATGAATCTAAAGCTCGGTGGTGCCACCAGCTCTCCTCACCCTCCTTCCTTGCTCTCCTCCTCGGCCGCCGTCTCCATGGACTCCGTCTCCGGCTGCTCCCCGCTGACTTTCTCCTGCTCGTCGATCCAGTCGGAGACGGCTTTGAGGGCCCGCTCCGTGTGGGAAACCATGTTCTGCACGGCCTCCAGCTCCTCCTGCGTGGGGTACACGGCCGAGTGCTTGGCCATCACGTGCCGGTCGTCGTTCACAAAGATCCGCATCGGGCGCTGCGAGGGGAGGCCGGGGAATATTTAGGGAGTGCCGGGACGGGGATGTTCACCCGGGAATCCGCTCGTTCCCCCACCCCCCCCTTTACCATTTTTGTTTTCTGCTGCCTGCCTGAAGGTTGTAAAGGTGTTTATTTGGATTTTTCGGGTGAGCAGAGCGTTGCAGCACCGCGGCGTTCTGGGATCTGAAAGAGACAGAGGGTGGGTGAGCCGGAGCTGGAAGAGGGAACAGCAATTAGATCCAAACTCGTTAGGCAAAGCTCAGCTTTCTGCCCCCCAGGATATCCCTGAGAGCTGGAGACTGGCAATGGAGGACCACAGAGCATCCAATCCTTATTCCCTTTTATTCCCAAACGGTTTTTCCCACGGAATGGGACTTTTCCGAAGCTCCTGCTCCCGTAACCGAAGCAGACAGAACTCCACTCTCCGCACTGGAGACAATTAATTAATTAATGACACAAATTAATGCCAGGTGGGTCCTTCTTCTCTCTGCTCACATGGGCAGCTCCTGGTGGATCCCTCTGGGATCCTAATGGGAATCTCCCTGCGCAGATCCCTCTGCCAGATCCCTGTTTTTACCCCAGAGCCACCCCGCTGCCTTTTCATTAGGATTCCAGAGGATGCTTTTCCCTGAGTTTATTAGGAGGAAACGGAATAAACCCAGCAAATCCAGCGCTCAGAAGTCCTGGAATTGGGTAAATTCAGCCCAAGTGACACCAAATTCCTGCCTTTTTGTGGGAACCGCCCCCAGCTGGAGCTGGGGAGCCTTTTGTTCCAACTCCAGGGCTTTGTTCCCCGGAACAGAGGAACGGGACCCTCTGGATGCTCCCTCGCCATTCCCACACGGACACCGGAAACATCAGCACCTGCTCCAGCCAGGGTCATTAACTGTATCCAATTAAACTAATTAATTCAAATCCCCACTTTCCCCCACTGCCCCTGACCGGTTCAATCCTGACCCTGCGACGCCCCACAGTAACTCCAAGGAAAACTCCATGGAAAAGCTTTGGGAAAGGCAGCGGAGGATGAGGAAGATCCCCATCCTTGTACCACCAAACCCGCCTGGTGACTCCAAATCCCAGCTGGAGAGGGTCGATCCCACCTGGATTATCCCAGAGCTGCCAACCAAGCCCCACTTTGGGGCAGCCTTTCCCTTTCCCAAGAGTTTTCCAGGCCACCAAAGCAGATCCCAGCTCGCTCCCACCGTTCCCCACCGGCACCTCCCCACTTCTGGCCTCATGTCCATCAGCTCACCCCGAGCCAGGACTCACAATTTTAAGATAAAAAACACATTTTTATGATAAACACCGGGAAAACTCATTCCCTCAAGCCACTGCACGGACACACAATCCCATCCAAGGAAACCCCTCTGATCCCAATCCTGCCAGTTCATTCATGGTTGATTTTATTCATTAATAGTGTCATAAATCTGGATTTAATTGTAATTAAACCCTGACCGGCGCTGACTGAGCAGGGAGAATCATTCCCAAGGAGCCACATGGCATCTCCTGGTGCTTCCTGCTCTGAGCTGGGCCCTGAAGGCCCCGTTATTTTCCTTAAAATTCCCTCAATTTCCAGGCTTGATAAGGAAAGGGTTGAAATCCCACCCAGCCGTTCCTACAGTCAGAATCACAACAGCAGCCAGAGAATCTCCCATTATCCCTCTCCTGGGATTTTTGGAGGGAGAAATCTGGGATCTGATGCTGCAGCACCAGCAGATTTCTGTCTCTCGAGGAGAAGAACCACAGATTCAGTTAAACCGGGAGCTCAATCCTCACTCGGCCCTTGGAAACGGGACAAACTGGAATTTCACCAGGTTTCGGCCTCACCCCTTCCACCCCCAGCAGGAATTCACCAAACTTCCCGCGCTCCGATGGAGCCTCCCGAGGGAAGAAGTGACTCTCAAAAAGCCTTTTTGGAAGGACACTGGGGAAAAACAATCAAAGGACGTAAAAGGCTGGAATTTCTGCCTTAAACGTGGGAAAGTGTGAGCCAGGCAAAGCCGCGCTCGGGTTCAAGGCCACGTTTTAAGAAAGAATTGGTTGCTTTTATCCGTGTTTTGGCACCTGCCCGGGATGGATGAGGAGCCAGAACCCTCCCAGGAACCCCGGATTCCAGCGGGAACCCCGGATTCCAGCGGGAATCCTGGAGTGAGGGGGCACAAAGCCGGCGGTCCCTGCGGAGCAGACGAGGCGGGAAGGGGGTGCTGGATCTCTGTTCCTCTAAACCCTCCAGAAAAGGAGGATAACGGGGCTGGATGAGTGGGATCTGTGAGGGAGCAGGGACAGAGGCCGCGAAAAGCTGAGGAGAGCAAGATCCTGATCCTGAGGGGGCAGAGGGGCTAAAATCCCCCCCAGAGGGGATGATCCCAATGCAATTCGCAGCCTGGGATGAGGTGGGATGGGGAGGGAAGAGGGGCTTTAAGCCCCTCCAAGGGGGGCGATCCCACCTCCTCCACGATGCCCCCCCGAACATCCCACCCAGGGGCGGCTGAGTGGGTCGGGAAGGGACCAGCCCCCCTCAGGCCCCCCATCCCCGTCCCCACTCGAGTGCGGGGCCGCGGGGCGAAAACGAGGAGGGGGCGCGGGGCTGAGGAGGGGGCGCGGAGGGTGAGGAGGGGGCGCGGGGGCCGCCGGGCGCTGCCGCCATTTGCAAACGCGGCGCGAACAAAGCGGCGCCGGCCAGGAATGAGGGGAGTCGGGGAGAGCCCCGTGCGGCACCCGCGCTCCCGGGCCGGCCGCTCGATCCCCCCCGTCCCTCGGGCCGCTGCTGAGGGGGGTCCGTGAGGGGGCCCGGCCGCCCCCCCCCCTCACCCTCCCCTCACTCACCGCCGCCATTTTGTCTGCACACAATGGGCAGGGCGGGAGGGAGGGGACACAGGGGGGGCCGGGTCACCGCGTCCCGCCGCCCCCCCCCCCCCCCCCCCCCCCCCCCCCCACCCCCCCCC